GCTGTTATTTCTTTATTTAGTAATCTAGATTTTGTTCAGCCAGTTGCAGGAAATGTAAGTTGAGTAGACTTTTCACCTGACTGTATTCCATATGATTCAAAATGCCTGGCTTAGATTTACAGGTGCCACAATTGAGTTCAAAAGCTTGGTGTTACAGTACTCATTTTAGAAGTATTTTAATTCTTTTTATCAACATTAGGACCACTAAGAAGTATGTCAAGTAAAAGCTTGTACCTATGCAGCAAAATCCCCATTCTCCAAGCTTAAATCCACTGTCAGCCAGTTCTTTGGGTTTGAACTGTGGTGTCTTCTTCAAGTCTGAGTGTAAACAAGCATGTGAAAAAAAATCTGAATTTTGTTTCTCTTGATTTTTTTCTTTGTAACATCAGTAAAATACCAAGTTGTATTTGAATGCAAAATGAAAAGAACAATAATAGATTGATAGAAAATGTGATTCAACAGCTTTCTGTAAATAAGAGATCTTCAGTGAAGATGTTCCAACCTCGGCTAGCATATGAAGAAATGTGACAGCTCTCGCGACACTGTCTTTCATCTACAACATAGCTGTCACAATTAATTCTCTCACCAGTTCCTTGATCTCACTCAGAAAGACAGCATTCATTTTATTAAATGCTGAAGTATGTTTTTATGTGTGGAAAGACAACACAGGATACATTTTAATGTCCTGAATATTCAAAATAAGTTATTACTCATTATCATGCTGAGCTGTCATATCAGATTTAACATGTTCAGATGAAAAGGTAATCCATTAGTCACCTCTCATACTACAAATAACTATTATTTCTAGTTGGTAAATGATAAACACTGAACAATATTCTGCCAGCTCCACTTAAAATGAACACAGAATCTAATGCTACTGAGATCTGGTATCTTATCCTACTTTCGTGCTTTCAAGAAATGATTACTTTCTTCCTGTAATCTCATTCTCCATTTTATTCAGAAAATTGCCAAGGAGACATAACATTCACAACAAAAAGCACATGATGTAAGCTATTGAATCAGCAAAATAAAGCTGCATAATTCTGCCAGTGCTATTAAAAGTCTGAATTTAACGATCACCCTTCCACTCCAGTTCTGCTTCCAGAGGTTCCCTGAATTTTCAGCAGTAGTGAACTGCTGCAGTTGTACTACATATGGACTAGATTTGGATTGCTGAAAGGTGAAAAGAAGTTCGGCAAATCTGTTAATTCACATAGAGATTTACTGTTCAACAGTGTATTATTTCCTGTTTTCCAAAGACTGTCTACTCAATGGCTTAAAGATTTCTAGGGTTTTGTCACAAATTTTCCTTTCAGGAAGGACCCTCATTGGCTTAACAAACTCAGTGGGCATGACAGATGTACCAAATAAACAGTAGTCTTTCCCCTCCAGAACTCAGAGCTGTGCATTTAACAGCCTGGTAAGAAAAACATTGCTGAGCTATGGTATGTTTCTGTTTGACAAGTGGAAATAACTCTCTACAACTTCATTTTTGAAGTTGCCCTCTAACATCACTCAAGTATTTTTGAGGTCAGAGCCAGCAGTATCTGTAATTTTAGCAATAGCAATTTAAAGAATGGAATATCTTTATTGATTAATGACATTGACTGAATGATATATTGTTTCCTGAAACCTGTGTTGTTCTCCAGACTTTTTCTTAGTGATAAAGTTGCCTTTCTTTTTTTCTTTAATGGTAGCAGAAAAACAGCTTTTTAAGGAAATGTAGAAAATCAGTCCAATTAGTTCCTTCTTGCTAAAATACATTAGCAAAGTCCACTTTACAGAGTGACTAGCTCAGATCTTGGGTCTTTCCAAACATAAATTTCCTGCTTGACAGCCAGTTCTGTTTAAATTTTCCTAGTGGTTACACACACACTCCCCCTCACGCCCTATAGGTCTTCCCAGAGACTGATCTGAGACACTTCAGCTGGTGTTACCCAGCCCTCAGGTGCCTCACATATATGATCTCTCTCCACAGGATGGCTGGCACTTATCCTGTGCTTCTTGCCATCTAGTCCAGCATGAAGTTTTCTGGCATGCGCACACATGCAGGCTCAAAACAAAGGCTGCTCTTACACAGTAGATGGTTAGGGATAGAATTTAATAACAATATGCAACAGACTCATTAAGACAAGTGTTCACCTGCAACCATTTCCTTTCATCTCCTCTCTTCTCCATTTACCTCCGTTCCTCTCTGATCCACATTTATGCCTCTGTTTCCTCTCCTGTGTCCTGTCCCTTAAACATCATGTAAATTTTCCACATACCCACAATACCTTTAAAATACACCATAATGTTTGACACAATCCCAAGTTTCTCTCTGCTCCATTGCAAAATTAAGTATCCTGTGCCAACCCACTATCCTTTTAGGCAGAGAACACCCTTAGTCTGGAGGGAATCCTGTAAAGGAAGTTTTTTTTCATTGAGTCTTCTTAGTACGTTTCCCATAAGAAACCATGGCTGCAACATTCTCCTCCAATAGTCTTAGGAGCAGCAGATTCAGTGGCTTCTGTTCTTCATTGATGAGGTTACTTTGATTCCACCATCTGTCATTGTTCTTTTGATCATCACCATGTCTTTGTGTTTAATTTGATTAGCCTCTCATCAGATAACCTAAAACCAGTAAAATTCATAGTAAAATATATCTGGTTTAAACCAGATAATTTATTTTCATCATTAGCTTATTTTCTTGGAATTTCTTATCCTACAGGTTTTCCTTACACAGTACAGCTCCCCGCAAAGTGATTCAGAAAGAAGAACACAGTGAACAGCTTTATCTATAGAATTTCTTATCCACTTTATATTCGTCATACTTCCTCAGTGTACTTGCCTAGTCTTGTCCCTAATACAGCTTAAACTATCCCAACTACTTCTAAATTTACAAGAAAATCCCAGAACAATGTAGGTGAAATTGTAGTAAAGCTCCAGGTGAGCTACAATAAAGACAAAGCGTAATTTAAGGTACGATTTCATGACTGTTTTAATTTGCTGTAAATCTGTGCTCATTGACTTACTGGGTTTTAGGCAGACTAGACAGGTAACTGAATGATTCATTTTCACACAGATCCATTCCCTGCATCCATTGGAACACTCCCCTTCTGTAGCAAGAGCAGTAATCAAGACTTTGTGCTTTTTACTATATTAAAGTGGGAAGGATGACAAAACTTTTCTAAAAGCTACATGTGGATTCCCATTATATTGAAATTTGCTATATACTTAAGGGTGAAAAACAAAGTTTGGAAGTTTAAAAGAGCTTTTGAGTAGGAATTTTTTGCTCAAAAATGCAGGTCCTTTGAGTTTACGTATTTGTGGTTTTTTAATATGAAAGAGTAATGTATGTGTAAAAGCTGCCTGCATTTTACTTTTTCTTTGTCCATCCTTGAGATTCCAGTGAGTGTTTTAACCTTTCAGAAACTGAATTCAGATTCTGTACAATCCAGTATGCAAAACTCCCTATCATAAAAGGAAATTTGGATATTAGGAAGAAGTTTTTTACAGAGAGAGTAATCAGACATTGGAATGGGCTGCCCAGGGAGGTGGTGGATTCACCATCCCTAGAGGCTTTTAAGATGAGACTGGATGTGGCACTTAGTGCCATGGTCTAGTAACCACGGCAATGTTGGATCAAGGGTTGGACTTGATGATCTCGCAGGTCTTTTCCAACCCCGTTGATTCTATGGTTCTATTCTATGAAACAATATGCAAAAAAAGTTCTGCATATATAGTGGACTTGTTCAAATAGTGTATAATTAGGAGGGAAATAGTTATCTGACATATGACAAAGACCTTAATGCAAAATCCATCACGTGTGTGGGGTAATAGTGTAATTTAACATGATGTTCCATAGCTATTGAACCTGAACTAATGGATCAGTGCTGCAAATTAAGTCCTATGTTTGTTCATTTTTAGTGCTTGAGTTCCCATTTCTGGTGCCGGCTGTGCTTGTATCTCTGCTGATTGCTGTGGCTGGGGTGAAAAACAATATGTAAAGTGATCTCTGATAATATTAAGTAAATAGACAAAACAAGTTGAAAAAAGCAATTACTTTTGTGGGACTGTCATGTTCCTTAACTTTTCATTGCCTTTTTTACAGAGGTTTCCCTATAACTGAATTTGACATTTTGAAAGGGCACAAGATGCTTCTAGGCAACCTTATCTCTTCATTGCTAAAGTTTTGGGAAAAATAATATTTATTGGATGTGTCACAAATTATTGTTTATTCTGTGTGAGCCTCTTGTGCCTCTAGGCACCATGCATGTGTGAATGGAGGCTTTGCAATGTGTTTTTGGAAGCAGATTAAATGAGTCAGTTTTTTATTATTAATTTTTGTCACTATGTAAGAAAAAAATTTCTATTCATTAAATAGTCTTTGCATCAAATTGTAAGTCCAGTTGTTGTGTGCTTATTTACTTTCTGGATAGTTTTAGGGAAGGTGGATTTGCTTTGCTGAGTTAATTTTTCACTTAAAATTATCAAACAAGACTTCAAACAAATGAAAGGAAAACCCAGACACTCTTCTGTTTTGTGGGCTGCCAAGGATGTATCTATGTATATACCCTTTATTCTCTATCAAAGACTTTGCAGAGTCATTATTTACATTTTGATGTTTCCAGAGGCCACTAAATATGACCCTTTCAATTGAGGTGAGGCAGGTCAGTTAATTTTCATGGGTTTTACTGATATTAAAGGTAATTACACTGCTCTCAACTTTATATTTGCTATTATTAGTAGTATATAGAAAATGTTTAATAAGGTACTTGCAAATTATAATTATTTAACAGAATTGATATTATGGCAGATATTTTAACTAAATTTGCCCTTAATTTTGTGTATAATCATGTTCTGTAATTCTTGTGAGACTATAATAGTTAAATATTTCTGTAAACTGTTTCAAGATTAATGCTGCCCTCAATATTGAGCCTTCTTAATTCTACTCTTTTTAATAATAATTAAATATACTAAAGCTATTTTTTCCTCTTTTCTATACCGTTTGCACTTAGCAATGTAGCAAGAAAGCATCAACTTCATTGTTGTGGATCCTGAAATCATCTGGAATAATTGCAAACCGTCCTTGGCCAAGGATCACTCTTACATTGACAACCACTGCTATAATATTAACCATGGCTGTATTCAACATGGTAAGGGAAAAGGAGTAATTTTTCTTGGATTTTTTTTTCTTTTAAGATTTTTTTTGTTGTTTTTGTTCAGTATTTGTTTAGGTGTTGAATTTTTGGCCTGTGGCTATGCCAGGAACCTACATGGTAACGATTGCCAGAGACAGAAATATAAAGCAGAGCAACAGAAAACATACTGTGCAATGAGAGCCTCTGCATAAAGGATGCTCAGCAAGAGCTCAGAACCTGGCTAAATATGTTAAAGAAAAGTATTATTTATAATTAATAATTAAATCCCAGGTTTGAATTGTGCAAGTCCCTTGATCATCTATGCATTGCTTAGAAAAACAGAGCATTGCTGAAGGAGTGAAGTATCTCCTCACAGAATGTGTAGAAGACTTTGTGCGAAACAAACTAAGTTCTGTTCAGTTTTGTGATGCTCCTCTGCTGATCCCAACATCATTGATTTCACATGCTTCTCTTTTTTTTTGAATAAGAAAAAAGATTCAAAGTTACATCAAAACTTCAAATATACTGAACTACAAATTTGTTAGGGCTTATGTCTACTTTAGTCATTTAACCTGGGCTTTTCTCTTCCAGTAGGAAAAATCTATGTAATTCTATTATTCTTTTGTAACTATAGCAAATATAGATTAGATCTGTCATTAGTTTACCTAAAGCATGAATCTTAATGATCTTGTTTGTTCTTAAGGGTGTGTTGTCTAATGAGATGAGCAGTATTATGGGATCAAAAAACTTCCTTTGTTTTGTCCTGTTGACTAGGGCTGTTTCTGTTTGTAAACCTGTGAAGGTGTTCCAGTTCAGTTCTGTATCTGTGAAATAGGAACTCCTTTATACTTATTTAGGTAATGTTTTCATTACAACATTAATGCATAGATATTAGTCATGTTTCAAGTGAGTGAGATTTGCATTTCAGTGCTTTTGAAATTGGAACTCTAGCTCTTCCTTGAGTTGCTGGTACTTTTGAGGCTCAGAAAGGACTCAGAGATTGATAATACCTACTCTGTTTTGTTTTGTTTCCCCACAACATTTGACTCTCAGTCAGTCATTTTTTACTGTAAGTACTAGAGTCATCCAAGGGCTTTATGTGGGCTTTATGTGTAATGTGGGCTTTTAAATGTGAACAATTGAAAATTCTGGTAGTACCTTCTCTCCATTTTTACTGTTGAATTTTTTTAGTCTTGTTTTTGTTGGTTTTCTGATTTTTCTTTTTCCTACTTTTTTGGACGAGAGAAGATAAGACTCAAAAATAATTCCATTTTCAACATTTAAAATTTACCAAATTAATTACCTGTGTAAGGCTGGTAGAGGAGAAACTCAAAGAAGCAATGGCTGGAAATGAGATAATAAACTCACTTTTCAGCAGTGAAAGCAGTAAGCAATGGCAACAGTTATTCTGAAAAACTATTGATTCACCATGACCTTTTGTCCTCAGCTCTAGACTATATGCTTTTTTGAATTATAACCTTCAGCCAGGCAAAAGTTATTTATATATAACGGGATAAAACCTAGAGATGGAGTAACTTGTAAAATGAGTATCAGATTAGACTTTCTCTTATATTGAATTCTATAAATGTATAAGAGGAAAAGAAAGAGCCTACTTGGGTTTAAAGTATACTTTGACTTAGAATTCATGCATATGGTTATTTATTAAGTTAAAAAATGTAAAATAAAATATGGTCAGCAACTGTTTTTGGCTTAGACTAAAGTTCTACTAGTGTGTACAGCCCACTTCAAATTTGGCCTTCAACTAGTAAAAGGCATTCTAGCAAAAAAAAAGCAGCTGTTCAGTACATTATTTTTAGAAAAAGGTTTTAATTTTGTTGGCTCAAGTCCAATTTTAGGTGGACTAAATGTTATAGTGAAACCTAGTAGGCTGTATTTTAGTCTTTGTGCCTTATCAGTAATGTTACAGTGTTACAAATAATCGTGTTCCATGGTATTCATGAGATGATAATTTTAAGTACAATTCCCCCCTTGAAACTAAACCTTAATAGTTTGACTAGCAAAAATGACTTTAAATGTGATTGTGAAATTTGCATTTCCTTAACATTAATAGCAAATTGTGGGAGAGACTCTGAAGTATCATTATTATATCTCCAAGCAACATGTACTTAATAGCAGAGTCCATTAACTGCATTTATTTCCATGAACTCTTTCAGTAGAAAAAGGCAAAATGTAGCCATTAAGATTTAATGGAGATAGAAAGCGTCTAACCATCCCACACCTAATAAATCATAATTAAGACCAAAATGTCAAATAAAACTCAGTCTGCATGGTCATAGAACACTGGAAGAGAATGGGGGTGCAATTTTACTTCAAATTAGCTGTTTCAACAGACATCTGAATCTGATCTTCGCATCTGAGAGGTATATAGTCATGATCAGTGGAGGGAAGTTAAAAATCAGCTAATGTGACATAGGTATCAAATACTTCTTAGCTGAAGGGAGAGGGCGAGCATCAGAGAGATGCTATATAGAGAGTAGGACAAAAGTCAGCGGCTGAGGAAAACTGTTTTTGTCAAGCTGACCTTCTTTAAACCAAACATGAGAAAGTATCCTGCAGGGAACAATCCAGACATCTCAGAGAGATGATAGGACTGCATAACTGCAAAGGGTTGATACTTGGAAGCTGAATGAATGACTGCATACAATGATTGTGCCTCACCATCTTCTGGGATTCATGTGATTTCAAGAAACATGGCATGATGAAAGAATCCTGGAACAGCTCTTGGTTTCAGTGACTTCTGCATCAAATGCATGAATGGTTCTTGACACAGAAACAGGATCTTAGGGCTATACTGTCCCAGGAAGGTTCTCTGACTACCAACTTTAAGATTCAGGATCATAGAGTAGTTTGGATTGAAAAGGACCTTAAGAGGTGATTTAGTTCAAACTCCCCTGCCATGGGCATGGACATCTGTCCCACCTGACTTTGTTTCCAGGAACGGAATATCCACCACCTCCCTAGGAAACCTGTTCCAGTACCTCATAACCATCATCATTAAAAAAAAATGTTCCCTTATATCTAGTCTGAAACCACAGACACTCCGAAGCTAAGAAATCTTGTACAAACCCAAACTGCTCTAAAAATTCTGCGAAATGCACTGCACTCTCTAGATCTTCATCATCCTTTTCCAGGTAACTGATATCTCGGGATCAGCTCTTCTTTTTTTAAAAAATGCTTCTTTTTTTAAAAAATGCTTAATAGTCTTGGTAGGTACTTAGCATTCCAGGCTCTCCTTAAATTCCTGCTTATGAGCTTGTGAATAGGAGAAATGATACCAGAATTTGGGATCCTCCACAGTATTCTTGAGGTATTCATGTGGGGATATGTGGATAAAAATCCTGATTCAACTGCCAGACCAACTGGCATTTTTCAAAGGAAGCTGTGATACGCATTTGACATCCAAGTACTTTCATACCTTAGTGAGAAATATGGCTTCTTTTTTTTCCTTTTGTGAGATCTATATTAGTGTATTATGTATGTATGTTGTCTTTTGATGATTCTTGGTCAGGTAACAAGAGATGCACTAACTTGCTTATCCCTCTTTTTGGGGAGAGGGTCTGTTACCACATGGCTTCTATTGAAATAAATAGCAGCACAGCAGGTATTTTCATCATGTGGGGCAAAAAACTCACAACCAAGAATTGCAAATTATACAAACACAAGAAAAGAAAAAGCTGTTAGAATATGTGAAGTTAAAATGAGAATTTAATGGTAGCATGCTCAGATGTTCCCTGGAAAACATAGATATTCATAAAAAATACTGCTTTCATTTGAGTCATTTGAGTAGGTGTGACTGCTTAGTAGGACTGAATTGACTTTTACAAAAATACTATGTTGAAGAACAATATATATCTTCAAAGCTTCATAGCACATGTAGATAAGTGATGAGAGACAAGAAAGATAAGTACAAACACATCATTCAGAATAAGTGTTGTTTAGCTCATGGGAGGTGACAACGTTTCCATATCCTTTTTTTCCCTTTTTATATTTATTCAAGTATTCACAGATACACCATATTTCACCCAGTGTTCTGTGTATACAGGTAACATTTATAGGTCAGAAATGCCCTGTATAAAGTTCAAACCCAAAATACATTAATATAAATTAATATATATAAAAATATATATGTACCATATATGTTTATGTAATATAATTGCATTTGAGTTCTTTGTGTTATATAATTTTTTGCTCTGTGGACATGCATAGGGTGGGATTCTAAAACTAAATAGTTATTTCATGTTTACAGAAAAAGCATATGCACTGTTAGTGGGTGACCCTTGGCAAATGCCCTTGTTAACAACAGCCATTAAATACTTGGAGGCAAGCAGGGGATTAAATGCTTAAAGCTGTCTGAAAGGCCTTTGCCCAAAATTGTTCCTGTTAAAGAGGAAGGGTGGCCTGAGCTGACTTAAAAAGTAACCAAGCAACCTCAGAAAGAATTCTGAAGTAAAGAAGGAAATCGTGGGAAAAGAAGTACAAAAGAAACACAGAAATGTGTAACAGGAGATAGAGCTATGAGTGGAAACAGCTGTCTGTCCAAACCTGGTTTAAGAAGAATCCTAAGTCACCCCTCTCTCACCACACCTCTGCCCCAGTCAGCAAGAGCAGCCTCCCTGTCAGATGCTGTGGGCTGCCTGCTCTGTACCTGGCAGACAACAATGCTGGCTGTGACGAGCAGGGACCCACACCTCAGGTTTGTCTTTGCGCAGGAACTCACAGGGTGCTCTGTCTCTAGCATGTGCCTTAACAGTTTGTAGGGAGTTGCACAAGCGCACATGAAACTAGAGCACCCACATCTCCTTACAAGGGAGTGTGCAGGTAGGGTAACCTGCATTCCCAGAAGAGTGTGTGTGTTTCCACACATCCTGTGAGAAGAGGCAGATGTGCATATAATCATGCATGTACGAGCCATTAGAGCTCTTTGAGATCAGTTATAGAAGGGTGTTCCAAAATCTGTAGGTGTTTATTAAGATTTTGTAGAGCCTGGTTTCATGATTGATCTGTTGTGTTACCGATACTGATCCTGTCTGTACAGTTCACTGATTGCGGGTTAATTATGTGTAGTTTCACATATATAGTCAGAGAAGTATGCTAGTGAAGGAACACAACCTGAAGGTGCAAGTGTACAAAGTGTGCCAACTTGGTATTGGTAGTAGGTGGCATTTTGATAACCTTTGCAAGTCCACAACCTTGGATGTGTTGAAGGGGTGTTAACAGATAATGGTTTTAAGCTCTTCTAAGCAGTGCCACAAAACATATCGAAGGGCACTCACCAGTTATGGTGGCGTGGGAGATTGGATAGTCTCTAAAAAGATAAAGTCGCTGTGCATGTAGTCCAGTGCTGCGACTGTTGCCAAGGGGGATTTTGGGGTCTCTATCCTTGGATAGAGCTGACCAGCTCTAGTGTTAGTAAATCAACAAAGCATTTTGATCGTATTTGGTTGATCTGCGCTGAAACTGTGCTGATTTTCTCTGTAATAGTAGGTAAAGCCAGAGATGGGGAAAGAATTTAGAGATGGGTCACACACTGACTACCTGCAGAGAACAGCGCATGAGAGGGAGGCAACCTGTGGAGCTCTGCTGTGGTCTGCTATGGTCTAATATGGTCAACCCAGTGTGGATTTTCATATTTAGTATGTAAGAGGGACTGTAAAATTTACTAATGAAATTAAAGTGACAGTCAGTGTCTGTGAGGGAAGGCTTGGGATTTCAGAAAGGAAGAAGTCAGCTGAGGATTTGAGTAAAAGAACTAGAATTAAATTTCATAGTGCAGAGCTCAAGATTATGGTTGGGTTGACAGAGTAGTGTCAAGAATTTCTGATACAGGTTGGAAGCTCATCAGATAGAGATGCGATGAGTGCAGGATTTTAATTAATTATGTGGGTTTAATGTCAACTCAACTGAATCACAATAACCATCCATGTGGCTGCTCTTAACTCACCATAAGTACAAACTGCATTTGCCTTAGAGAGTCCCAATGAAGGAAAGCTACCTCACATTTGCTGAGCATGATGTTAGTGGCTGGGGTGATGTCAATGTGCAGCAATGTATTAAAACAGCTATAGTTTCATGATCTGTCTGAGCCCTAGTTGCATGAGGTACAGTGAGCTATTAAGGTTTTGCAACTGTGAGCAAAGGAGCAAAATTTTATATGTACAGGTTCAATTTATATATTCAATTTATTCAATATATGTAAATATCTCAAAGGTAGGTGCTAAGAGGATGGTGCCAGACTCTTTTCAGTGGTGCCCAGCAACAGGATAAGGAGCAATGACCATAAACTAAAATGCAAGAAATTGCACTTCAACACAAGGAAGAACTTCTTGACATTGAGGGTGGCAGAGCACTAGAACAGGCTGCCCAGGGAGGTCATGAAATCTCCCTCTCTGGAGACATTCCAAACCCACCTGAACATGTTGCTGTGTAACTTGCTCTTGGTGACCCTGCCTTGGCAGGGGGTTGGACTAGGTGATCTCCAGAGGTCCCTTCCAACCCTAACTATTCCGTGATTCTATGATTCTAGGATGTATGAAAACATATTTTCTGCAGAATTAGCACTAGTGTTACTGCATGACTCACTGATAAAATCTGGGAAGTCTGTTTGCAGTTTTGGTCACCCAGAAGATGGAATTGAAAGAGGTGTGTACAGAGTGGGACTACTAGAACAGTTAGGGAAATGAAGAGCATGTTTTCAGGAAAGAAACTAGAAAAACATAGATTGATGAACATAATTAAGACTGAGATGGCATTAAGTATTAGGAATGTAAATACTAGGGAGAGAAAGGACCTATCTGAAAGCTAAAGGATGAGATTATTTCAAGAAGAAAAACATGTGAACTGGTCATGAATAGTGGTTAAATGTAGAAAGAACTTAAATGTTGAGATTCACACTACTGGTATTAACATAGTCAGCAAAATCTAAATCATTAAGAAAGCACTGGATCACTACATCAAGGGAGTCTGTATGATGATGATTTCCCATGTGGTAACTGACTGAATTTGATGACCCGGGAGATACTGGATCCACTTTTCTGTTTCAATGACATTAGTTCCAATATTATTACCAACATTATTATGTTATTACATCTGCATAAACCAACTTCAATTAATACTTCTCATTCTTTCTTCAGTTCTTCCTGTGTTTAAATAGGACGTTCAATTGAGGTAAACCAAGGAATTATTCATATTGAATTTATTTCATCATTGTCTTTTATCTGTGTGAGCTTCTGATATATATGAAAGTAATGTAACAAAGAGCCTTTTGTCTTTTATTCAAATGGAAAGTGTCAGATGAAGGTTAACAAAGTTTTTTTTGTTTGAGGATGCTTGAACAAGTAATCGTGTGATGTCATTTCCCCTTCACTATTTAAGTTTTCAGTGAAATACCAAAGTTGAATGGTTACTGGCAAGGCTTTCTCTGCTTCTCCATTTCTATTCTCTATTTTGATCTTAAGCAGCTGTCAAGCTAATGGATTGTATGTTGGTTTTTTTCTAGTTTTTCCTGGATAGTGCTGTGATAGCTTTTCCCTCAGTTCTTAATTCATCAAATGCAAGTTTTCCTAATTCAAGTAATCATACACGGTGGTGTATACAAAACAACTGTTTTTTCCTACCGGTAAGTTCATTTTACATTCCTTTGTTTGTTTACAACAATTACACTAAATTGACTGTTGCCAGATCTGCTTGAAGTTAAACACCCACCAGTTTTTAAGACTGCTGTAAAAGATTGATTTTTTTTTCAGTCACCTGCAACTGCATTCGAAGTAAGTGGGAAGTTAAAGGAGGTTGGTACTTCTAAAAATAGAGGTTTTAATGAATGTCAGATTAAAAAAGCAGGAAACAGCATGATAACTAGGAAGTATAGCTTACCCATGTCAACGCTTTACAAGACATCGGGATAACACACAGCGTCTGCAAAGCACTGAAAGTCAGGTTGATCTGCAGACAGGTTTCACAAGGACCAGTGGCTGACCTGAAAAGATTCACCATTTTCATCACTGACAGTAAGTGTGAAATCTGTGATTGTCACACTTCTGTCGTTGCATATTTGATTAAGAGGTGGGGTAAGAGGGATGAAAATAAAACACTCATATAAACCACTATATAAACTGCTTGAAAGATCTGAACTGATCTGTAGAAGATGTCTTAGTGTGAACAAAAGCATAACAGCACATGCAAGACCAGGTTGGGGAAGATATTCCTGCAAAAAATGGGAACTATTTCCTAGAGAGCTGTTATTCTTAAAAGGATCACAAAAGACCTGCAGTTGAACATAACAAGCTGTATATTGCACCAAAATAGGTCAACAGTCTTTGGATAAATAAGCTGGTGTCAGCAAGAGGAGAAGGGAGATTATTGTATCTCTATGGTGAAATAATGAGACCATTACCAAAATGGTGTATGCTGATTTCCACACAGTATATTTTAAATGGAACAGCTATTCACTAGGTCAAACAAAACAATCCTGGGCACACACAAAAGGAAGATGTTGATATTAATTATGTATAGAACTCTCCTGGAAAAAAAGCAGTAACTGCAGCACTTACAGATTTTCATCATCTCCCTAGTAAAGTTACAGAGGAAGATTAGTTTCTGTTTCTTATTTTCAGCTTTAGCTAACTTAATGCTGCCAGGTATGGATAGGTGCCTATGTTTAGTTTTGGTCTGACATCAAGTAGTCCTGTTGACAAAGAAATTATGCAGTTCTTCTCTCATCCTCTGCTTGTGTTCACACTCACAAGCACATAGAAATAAATTTTTCCAGTGCTTATTTATATTTGTTTGCTTCTTTAATTATCAGGTTTTCTAGTTATCATCTTTTCTATTTCTTGTTATAGTTTTGAGCATCTTGAAAGGCATTTTGTTTTCTTTTTTACCAGTAAGTTTTCCAACAAACATCTGAAAGATATAGTTTTCATAAATTATACTTACTGCTAAGATTCAATCTGCTGTTTCTTTGTTCATTTGTTTTCCTGTGTATAACTAAGATGTTTGTCAGCTTGTGTTTGGCACATTTCTAGCAAGTAATGGTTTATATTATCTTTAAAGTATTAGAACACATTCTTTCATCTAAGAAACATTTGATAATAACTGGCACCAAAAAATTATATTCAAATTTCACTTCTGACAATAGTAAATGAAAAATTTAGGTTAGCCAAAATTTTTAAAAACTTTAAAACATCTCTCAAATACACATTGTTTTCATCCTCACACACTGCATAACTTCTAGCTTGAAAAAGCTGTAAATTCCTTTTTAGTTACCACTTTTGATATTAATTTTTTTTAATCTGTAAATAAAATTCCTCTGTCTTCACTGAATGAGGTATTGAATACTTAAGCTGACAAATGTTTGTTTCCTTAAATTAAAAATTCAATATTTTGAGTCTGTGTGTTAGGTATAAGCTTTATTCTTGTCAATAAACTTTGTGTGATTTATGATAGCAGACCTGACAGATCTATTGACTATGTCATCTAAAATGAGCAAATAAGAGGTTTGGGAATTGTTTCAGTCCCAGTTGAAGTAAATTCATTTTGAAGCAAACTAATTGATTCTCCTCCTCTTTCATCTCTGAAAATAACTTTTCTGACTTGTATTGCTTGCTTTTTTAAAGACTTAGCAAAGATTCCACAGTAAGTTATAGGGACATTTTTGTGTTTAGGTTTGTGTAGTTTTGCTATGATGCTTCTGTAGTTTCTATGTAATAGAGGTTGAACTTTTCAAGATGTACATATCTATTCCTGTGACAAAATACAGTCTGGTGTCAGTGCTGCCATCTCCACATGTTAAATAAATAAAAGTTATAATAATGTCTGTTCTCAAGTTTTTCTCTATAGACATGAGTGTAGAATCCCTTCTTATTTCAGTAAAGATCTTTGTACCCACAGAACTGCTGTAGGTGTTAAATTTTAAGAGACCAAATGCACTGGGCTGGATCCTAAGGGTGCAAGGCACCAGACCTGTGATCTCAGTAAAAAAGGCACTCAGACTCTGTAAGGTATAGATTAAAATACCCTTTATTTGAGCTAGCACAAGAGGGAAAAACAGGATAGATGGAGTTACGCCCCTTCAGATGCTGAGAACCCTGAATTGTACAACATGAGATGCAGATTCTGCCTGTGGAGAGGTTACCCAGTACTCCTCTCTTTTGAGCTATTAGAGGATTTTCTTAAAAGGAAACATTTCTATTCACTGTTTCTGCCCTGAGACAAAAGTGACATCCATGAGAACTTCCTGATGCACTATTAGACAAAGCTGAGGCCACAGAGGTGGCACCACTGCTGCTACAGAATGGGAACTGCCTGCAGGCTCCGTGGTTGTGATAAATTGGCTGAGCTGGCTGAGATTATCCTGCAGCCAAGGGACATGCTAAGCAGACTATGGGCCTGCACCCACTCAGCCTCACTGCTATGTGTATTGCCAGCTCTACAGATCTGCTTGTTGCTTAGTGAAATATTGCATTGCAATACACAATATCACAGTCTGCATTCTTAAATGTGTGGCTGTACCACGCTTCTCTATTCCATCAACCCTTGTCTGAAATTTTAGCTGAAATTTTCAATCTGTTCTATCTATTCCTATGGAACACTGTCAGAGATTGTTCCACTTGAAAGTTTCTTGGTCTTTGTCAAACAGCATCCAGTTGTGGGTTCGACTGCCTTCCCTTGTTTCTTTTTGGAAAACTGAATGCCTTGGATGCTGCTACTTTTACGCAACACTGAAATTAGAGTGTGACCTCCTGTGAATTGCAGTCATCAGAGTAGTTTTATTTTTGGTGATTCTGAACAATAGTTCTATCTATTTCTTATTTCAACCAGATCTTCAATCAAATTGCAGTAACAGGAGAGATTGAGATGGCAGATCAATTCTGTCTGATGAGTGCCATGAAAATTATTCTTCTTAGTGATCCTCCAAAATTAATGATTCAGGTTGTCAAAAGTAGTGCCATCAACAAGTCAACAGCAGTCTGAAAATAACATGTCTAGAAATAGAATGCTTTGTAGTTTCAGAAAAGAAACTTTCTTACAAGGTGCAGGACTGTAATTTTCAGGAAGCATTTTTGGAAAAGGTGTTTCGTATTACAGACTAAGATAATGATTCTAGTGATGATGTATTATTCCTTTTTTCCAGAAGGCATCCAGAGAAAATATTTTTCCATGAATTTAACTTCAACCATACATATTTTTTATGTATATATATATATATGACCAAAAAAGGCTTTTTTTTAGCAATTGAATGTGTTCTTATATAGTTATAACTCAAGAGGATTTGACAGAAGGATTTTTATAATATGCATAGGCCTTGTTAATAACTTTGTATTTTTCCTACCCTGGGTATATTTCTAGAGTTTGTAAAATTGCACATCTATGAGGTTAATAACAACTGTGTGTTGGATCAGTTTATAATAACTGAAAGTATAGGCAATGGAATTGTTATTTTCAGATCTTTAGACATTTTGCCTTGATCCCTGTGCTAACAATACATATAGGGTAATTGCTGGACTCAAGCATGAGTGAAAACTCTACAGTGGCACAGGAATAAATCTTTTGTGAGTCTGCTGGCAGTAGACTCCTACATTAGATTTCAACACCAACAGTGATGTCCCATGAATGCAGATGAGTAAATCAAAAGTGTCACAGAGTGAAAATTAGGGAGTATAAATTAGGAGTGTAATCTGGATTCTTCTGAGCTTTCAGTTAATTGAAGCCTAATAAAAAAAACGAGTCTCTTTCATGAAATACCAGCATCTGATTGTTATTGGCTGTCTATAAACCATAGTGTCCCAGATTGTGATAGATTGCATGCTTCAGTGGTTAGTCAAGAACTTGGTTTTTAAACCAGCCTGAGGATTCTATTATGCATGATTTCCTACTCAAGAGCCAAATTCTAAATACTTTCCATTTGATTTTTCTTTGCCTGTTCTGTTTTCCTGAGGATAAATTATGAGTTGAAAATGGTAATAATGTTGGTTGCATTGGTGGGCTACAATGTTATCCTTCTGCACACTCATGGGCCCATGCTGGATGACTACAGCAAATTTATGTATGCAATGGCACCTCTTAGAAGGTAGGTGAATAACTCCAGTCATTTTGAAATTAAATACTACCTTTGGCACTTCTTATATCGTGAAGCAGATTTTTTTTTTCTCTGTGTTTGGCTATGTAATCTGTGAGTCAAAATTTAAAATCATTGTCATGCTGCAGTTAGTATATGATTTAATGTCACACCTCAGAGCATTAGAATAAAAGAAATAAGTCTGGATAAGGCATTTAAAGCAAATACTGTAGGAAGTGGAGTATAGTTTAATATTAATTTTTTATAATAAAGGACATTACAAAGAAGTCGTCATCAAGGTTGTTAGGGTCTCAGACTGTACATCATTAAGGCTGCTAAAGCATATTTGCTGGAAGCCAAATAAAATCAACCTCCTCAGAACTAGTACATAGTCTAAATCTTTAAAAATGCAGTCTGAGCTATTGAAAAAATTAGTAGACCAACAGTTTTTCTTTTTTTTTTTATTTTGCTATACTTGTGAATTTGTATGTTAAGTTTCCATGAGACTGCTGAAATCTTTGTTACAGGTGATAATATATAAGACCAAACTTATGACTCCCAATTCCAACTATCGTAAAATAATTTTTGGACACATGTATTTTCTACCTCATTTTCAAGGCAAAGAGGTGATTCTTTTCTGTGTAGGCTGAGTGTGTGGCATATGCCACACCAGAGAGTCTGAATATTCAGAGTAGAGTTTCGTTATAATTTTTCCTGTGCTATAGCATTCATGGAAAAGGATCTGAATTTAAAAAAAAAACCAAAAAAAAACAAAAAAGAAAAAGTGTGGTTTTCTTTGCACTTAAATCTGAAAGATTAAATGAACAAACCCAGGTCTCTGTTTTCATTGCATTAGTGGAAAGGATATCTGTGGGATGGTATGGAGAACCATGGGATGGTATAGATTGAGCAGTTTTGATTTTGCCAGTCAAGCTCTCTGTTGGTATTTTCCTTCCTAAATTTCTCACCGAGGTTCTTCTTTCAGTGGCCTCAGAGGAGAGCTTTAGGGTCTTTCGCCAAAGTGGAGTTTTTAATAAACTCTGTACAATATCTACTTTCTGCCTCCTGTAATTCTCAGGTGAAAAGGTATCTTGGGAGTTAGGTGCTTTGGTTTCTGTTTCTCCATATTCATTGGATATGGTCAAGCTCTCTATTATGGTAATAGTGTTGTTGCATTAAAAATCTCTTTTTATTCTACCTGTATAGAATAAGCCCCCAATTCTCTCCATTTGTAAGCAAACAAGGATATTGTTTTTAGTAAATCCTCATCTTTTTATTGGACTTCAAAATGTAGGTATATTTGCACAGAATGTAGTAGAAGTAATTCAAGCTACATAATACACGTAATGACGTTTCATCAAGTAATACAGCATATAATATTTAAATGCTCTTAGTTTGCGTGCCAGCAAGTAGTATAAATTGTGGTCTTATTTAAATATTGGTTTAACTTTTCAGCAGCCTGCTTTACTTCTGTTTTTATTTTGTAGGCCAGGAATACTGAAAGACCTGAAGACAATGGGCTCAATTTCCTTGTTCATATTCTTTATCACGTTACTGGTTTTGGGTAGACAGGTAAGATGCATGATTCTCTTCCTGTGCATCAGTGGACACAGTGCCAGCTGCCACATGCAGCCTGTCACCTTCCCAAAGAAACACCTTTATTCCATTCTGTCCCATACCCTTTCAAAGGAGCGTCAGAAGCATCTATAAAGCTATTTTGTTTATTACCTTCCAATTTGTCCTCAAAACTCCCCAATAACTGTCATTGAGACATTATGCTGATAGTGTACTGTGACTATTGCTTGTCACTCTGACCGATATTGTCTTGTAGCTTCCTGGTTTGCTCCCATCTGTCTGCATCCATCTGCTGTCTCCCATAGTTGCTTAATTACAAGCTATTTTCTTCACAGTTATTGCAATTTGATGCAGACACAGAAACAATGTAGCATGCACACATAAGTGTACCACATGCTGAGGCCATGGTTGCACTAAAACTGTGACCCAACAGGAAACTACTCTTTTTGTTACCCAGTTGTGCTTTTTCAGAACAAATCCGATGTCAGTGGTCTTACCTGTACTAAGCTGAGGAAAGATGCAAGGGCAGCTCTTTCTCCAAGTCCTCAGGCCTGTCCATGATTGTCATGGGTGGGAGTGGAAGGCTTAGACAAAGTTATTAAAAAGCAAAGCCTTACCAGTGAGTCTTGAGGTACAGAAAGGACTCCCTTGCTTTCTAAACCTCTTCTCAGAGAGGAGTCTAGCTGCAGCTAAACCCAGTCTTAGCCTTGGATTATATTAATCGTTTAAATTTAAGGAATTATAGAGCTATGATTGAAAAACTTTTGTCCTGCAGGTTTTAATGATTGGCAAAATGAGAATATTTATATAAAATAAATAATTTATTTTATACAAATGATCAGACAAAAGATTTTAATCAGAACTATTTACTACACAATATAAACACTAAAAATCTATTTATAGAGTATAATATAGCATAAAGTAGTATAGTGCACTATAACAAAGCAATTATTGAAGCAGCTATATTAAAACTAGCAAAAAGAAATAATTATTAAGTAGAGATCTGATATAACTCACCCATACCAACACTCATGGGGAGATCTCTTTCTCTCAACCTCAAGGAGTATCCTTGTGGGGCATCCCCAGCCCAAGGGAGGGATCTCCACACATACACTCCAAGAAGGGTTATGTCAGAAGAACCTGACTGCATGAGAGGGGACTGGACTTTATAGTATAAAGTGATTGACTGCTAGTCACACCTTTACAGGCCAGCTATCAGCTTATCTGTCAAATCAGACTTCAAAAAGCAGGGTGTATATTCAAAGTTTGATGAAACAGGGTGGTTTTAGCATAATTAACACCAAGACAACACCCTGGCTCCAGCAGTTGATCTTGCATGATAGCTTGATTGATAGCTTGGTTGGATTTTAGGTCTTATCAGGGTGGGTTTATCCTGCCACAATGATCCATGGCTAAAAGTTGCAATTCCAGCCCATTGTGCCAGAAAGGATACAGTGCACAAGACAGGACTCTGAGATGGAAGAGACAATCCATGAAAGATCTCATGAACAGCCTATCCCAGACTGTTCATAAATCACTAATTTACATTACAATTCCTCGGAATGTAATGGCTGTCATTTAAATTGCCATGCAGGCCCTGCAGGTTGTTACACAAAAATTTGTTATCTGGCAGCTTCTGCAGTATTTGCTGTAGTGGGGAACATCCTTCTGGAGTTAGAAATAACATTCTTCATCTGTCTTGCTGCTAGCACAGCATTGGAGTTTGCTCATTTGGTGATGGTAACAGAAGTGGGGCTGGAGCACAGCTACTTCCACTCGGAAAGAGGAAAAAGTTCTTCTTTGCACCAGTTGAGAATCTTAGTCTCTGTCAACCTAAGTGTCAGATGGAGATGGTGGGCACAACACCAAAAAAAAAAAAGGAGAGAAAGGCTATCTTCATCACTGGAAAGGAGAGATTTCTTTGTGGGTTCGGGCACATCAAGAAGAAAGTTTGTTTTGCATACAACTACAAGTGTTCTTTGTCATGGCAACTGAGAAGTGATCTTGTAATGGAAAAAGTCTTCATTTTCAGAGCTGTAGGTTCAGAATCCTTGTCATGATACCACTTATTTGTAACTCATCAGTGTTTAGCCTTTGATTTTTCCTACTAATTAATTCTCCCTTAAAGGAGAAAAAAACCTGTTTTCAAACACTCTCAAGGAAAGTCTAAATATTACAAGAAAATATTATGAACTAATTTTAATACATACCTGGAGTGAGACCTGCCATTTTTAAGTTACTGATGGTGTACTAATTGGTAGCAAATGCTTGGAAAATGAAAAGGGGAGGAAATCAACCTGCTTAGAGTGATCCTTCCAGAACATATACTTCCCACCTTCTGTCCGTTGGCATTCCTGTGGCAGTGTTTAACAGCTATTGGCTTCTCTGCTTTCTGTTTCGTTGTCTGATCCCTTTTTAACCGATTTTATCTTCCTGATCTTCCCAACACTGATAATGAACCTCACAGTTTGATAAAAAGTCATGTGACAGTGTCTGTCTTTCTGTTTTTGAACTTTCTGTTTGCTACTTTCACTGAGTGGCACTTACAGGACACTTTTGAGCCATATTGGCAGTGTAGGCAAAGGGAAATTCTTCTTTACCCATCTTCCACAGAGGGTAATATACAAGTAATTTCTCTGTTATTGCATTTTTCTACTTTGCAGATAATGTCTTTTCTTTTGATATCTGCTTTTTTAAAAAATGCTAAAGATAATAGCCACTGATGAAAAGGGTGGCCTTTACATTTCCCTTAAGCTGCCACTGTCCCCAGAGTGAGTAACCAAAATGTTCATCCAAACAAAAAGTTGAATGCTTTCCTGCAAGCCCAGCTCTGTGAACCTGCTCACCACGGGTCAGCCTGTCCTGATGCAAAAGCAGAGGTGGGGAATATGTGTCTCCGGTTCAATGGAGATGAAGAGAGGGAGAGTTAGTATATCATTACAAGTTTTATGAGCCAACTTAGGTTCAACTGAAATTTTCAGCTGCACATCCAGTATCCCTGCTGGAAGAAGTAGGCCTTCCATCAGCTGCTCATTCTTTTCCTTGTGTCTCCTCATCTGTACTGGCACAGCTCACTGTGGAGCTGTATTCTACACCAAAACAGGGAAATGATCAGGCTTAAAAATTAACCCTGGAGAAATGGTTGGTTTCCAGCCAGATCTATTTCCAGAACTTATGACGTGGCTGCAGTAGTGCTCGTGCCAAAAAAATGAGCACAGGATGGAAGTGAAGTGGAGAAAGTAGAACTGCTTTTTTTGATGGTCATGCCAGGATAAGCTACAATCATTTCCTGACACTGAGACCAAGTGACTCATTTCATTTTGCATGTATACACCTAGAGTTATTTGAAAATAGGCTGGCAACAGGCAGACAATATGTTGGGAATGGCAACTCTTGCACCCTGCCCAGGAGAATGCAGACTGGTGTGGGCTTGACTGTGTAAGAAGTGTGCTCACATTTAAACACTATTGAGCATTAAATATCTCTTATGACCTGCTTTGAATTACCTGTATTGACATAGCCTATGAATTCCTTTCTCAATAGTACCTAAAATACATATCCCGTTACTCTGTTGGCTGGCTGTGTATTTTTTTCATTATTGATTATATTATGTTTATCCACACTGCATTTCATTGGCTATTTTACTGCTGAGATGCTTATGGCAACTTTACTCAGCTGTGAAAACTCTGTTCTGTTTTTTAGTGAGCATTTTTCTGTGAGGGGATCCTTCTCTTCTTGGACAACGTAGTCTTTTCAAGAGCTTTTTCTGGAAGAATTTAATGAAAACTTATTTCCAATTTTGCTCCTAATCACATGACCTTTAACTTCTTTGTAATAGATGGAGGCATGTTTACAGAAGAGGTGTCAGCTCTTCCAATTATATCACCTTTAGGTGATATGTCTATATAGCTGTTTTCCTTATCATTGTTTTTTTACAAAGTACTTTGCTCTGTTGTTCCACTTCTTTTCCAAATATTTGCATTATATCCTTACCATTTATTTGTCAGTCCTCTGATACTGTGTCTGTTTTGAATGATCAGGCTATCCCCCACGAGTTTCATATCATGAAAAAAAAATCCCACAATTCGAAGTAAGTTAATAAGCTATTGCTTTTCTGGTTTTAAATGTCTGATTATAAATTTTGAAAAATGATATGTTGACTTTTCTAATTTCAAAGCAAATTCTAGAATACATTCTGATTTATTTTTTCTGATTTCTGAATTCTCTTTGCCCTTTTTTTAGCAGATTAAACTTCATTCATTAAATAGTAAAGTAGTAAATGAATTATCTATTTAATATTAGCTCATAAAAAAGAAAAATCTTTTTGAAGACTTCAGCTTAGCTTCCACCTTTTCTTTTCAATACAAAGTTGGTACAATGTATGGATATCGAATTTCAGCAGGCATCCACTTTACTTCTGTCCATTTATGCCAATAATTTTGACATCTCAGGTTTTTATTGTATTTTTTCTGCATGAATACAGTTGGTGGCATTTGAATTTATCATCTATGTGTATGTATATTTATACAGCTAAATACTTAGATGTATAAATATCTAATATACATATAAAAAAGACATGCTAAAAAAGTGACTGCATGTATTTTGCATTATGTGGAAAGTTTTGAAAAAAACCTGTTTATGACCTCAAGCTTTATAAGAGGTAATTACCATTTAATAGATGCATGATGACAGAGCACCAGTAAAATCGTATTTTTCAAGTTCCTGAAGAAATCTGTTGTCAGGTTCTCTGTTCGTTCACGTATGTTTTTACAAGGATTTAAGTCTCTGCCCATTCTTCATTTGCTTATAATCTGCAAATATCCTTTAATAACATGTAATTATTGAAAATATCCGGCTTGTTTGCTTATTTGACATTCCAAGTCCAGATTCCTGGGATGCAGGGTGATCCATTCTAAGATGTTAAGACCCATTTTACTTTCAGAAGAATGTTATCTTTGAGTCAGAAGAGCCAGAATATTTCTTGCAGTGCATTTGAGATCTGCACTCTGTCCTTGTATTAGCACAGAGTGAGTATGTCAACAAAGAAACAAGGATTTCATGTTATGGGTGTTCTCTTTCAGTTTTGTAATTAAATATCTAAATAGTATCTGACCCTTATCAACCAATTTAAAGGCAACCTGAGTGTGTTGCTTTCTATGCGTTTAGAGAAGGCATCATTTTCCTCTTACTGTTTTTTCATCCTGCAAGTATTTGGCAGATATATTTTTTGATTCACCAGTTTTTACTTTCATTGCCTTTTAAAAGCTTGTGAAATCATTTTGATATCATCTAATTTGAACTTTCTACTCTTATCTTTGGCTGTGGTCTCAACAGAATATCTGTGAATCATTGTGCGCCATGACAGCCACTGTCCAGTCAGAAGGACTGCTTTCCTTTCTGATGTGAATGCTTACTGACTGCTAATAACACTAACTTGCATTTTTAGGTTTTTCTATAATAAGATTGTCATCATAATCATATTCTCCTGGTTAAGAACATAGTCTTCATTGAGACTGCATGGTAGTGTTAAACCATTAGACTACATTGAAATAGCTCTGGATTTATATCAGCTCAAATGAGGTCGGCCAGAGGAGGCTTTATTGCATATATAATGCCATAGAATTTATGACAAAACACTGACAACATTAAAATGGAGTTCCACAAAAATGTATTTTTATGAATTTTTCACCATCTTTTTAATGAAATTGGATCTCAAAACATACTGATATTCAAAAAATGTTACACCTTTAGATATAGTTCTAGGTATTGTTATTGTTGTAGATACTGAAAAGCTATTATGAAAACTCTGGGACAAAAAGAAAAGAAAGATAAAATATTATAGAAAGGAGTGTAAAAGCAATCAACCAAACAAACAAACAAAAAGGAAAAAACAAGCAACAAATCCAAAACTCAGCTGGGTTGGTCCAACTGATTGGACCATTTTTGATAGTTCGATCGTTATTTGATAAACTGAACATATATTATATGAATAGGGCTGTTTTATTTTTACCAGGCTGATGACTTGACACGATTTCAAGTTGGTAAAAGTTAGGGTCTTCCTGAAACGCCCATTATTGTAAGTGAAATTCTACACTAACAAAACCATATTAAATTGCAAAACTAAATTGTTTCAATTACAGTGTTTGATTTCTGGAATGAATCTACTAAAGCCAGATAGTAAATAAATAAATCTTCCATTGTTTAAGGCACTTTGCAACTTTTCTTTTTTTTTCTTGGGCCTTTTTGTTGGGTTTGATGAAATGCATGTCACATAGTGCATGCTTGGGGTTTGATTTCTGCGGGATCTGGAATTATACTTGAGTGGCCAAAGAATAGCCTTGTAGGGGTTTTGTACTGTGCTTATTTTGTCTCTTAAACCTGTACTCCAGCAGGACAAGATGCCTATTGTTTCTTTACTTCTGTGTCCTCTTGTAACAGAATGAATATTACTGTAGGTTAGACTTCCTGTGGAAGAACAAGTTCAAAAAAGAGCGGGAGGAGATTGAAACCATGGAGAACTTAAATCGGGTGCTTCTGGAGAATGTGCTTCCAGCCCACGTAGCTGAACACTTCTTGGCAAGAAACCTGAAGAATGAGGTCAGCTGTCTCTGTATATCCTCTGCTCAGTAAGAAAGCAGTGTATCCTGGAAGTGTATCCTTGATGCTGTTTTGAACAGTAGGTCCATACCGATAGACTATAGATTTACACTCATTTTCATTTCCCCTTGCCTACCTTAAAGGCTTGCTTTGCAGCACTGAATGCACCTTAATACCTTGAAGTAAAAAATGTGACATTATCTTAAGTGGCAATGCACTTTGCCTATTGAAGGAGGGTAAAAAAAGGTGACGAGTAGGAAGAACAGGATGCTTGAATCAACATGGATTTAAATTTAAATCATATGCATTCAGATGCTTTTTGCTCTGTGATCAGAGTGGAGTTGCAACCAGGTTCTGAATTTTCTTCTGTTGACTGGAGAGCTTGCTTATTGGAGTGAAAATTAACCTTTTCCCTGAAACAGTGTCTGTGTTAATTTTGCAAAGATGTTTTGAACACTGAATTACCTGTTTACTCACTGCTTATGGACCTAATCTAAGCACCAGAAAAGTCACCCAAAAGATCCATCTTTACTTTGGTGGAAATTAGTTCTGCTCCTAGTATTCCTTTACAGTATTAATAAAGCAGAAAAGAATGCAAATATAAAACTATTTAAAGAGAATAACAGCTCTAGAGATCTTAAATGCAGGAGTTTGAATTACTTTCACATACCAAATAATTGTTTCAAAACTGATGAGAGAGGGGAGAAGGCAGCTTTGGGTATTCATTTTTGATCTCCTGTGTCAAAAAGGACGTCTTCCCTTTCACTGTGGTTTGCCTTAAGCAGTACTAATCAGTACTTCATATCAATACTTCAGTATTCCCTGCAAAAACTCATTTGGTAGCTCACATCGAATGAAAATTGCTGTGGGATTCTTTTGAATGCTTCCAGACTTTGACTGGAAGCCAAGTTGACTCAGCTCCAGTTCTTGTTAAGGCATTGAACACAGCAAACCATCAGGAGATTGCTTTCTCTTTTATGTGCTATTCCACCTCAGCTCCCCAGCAGAACAACAACATCTGCTTACCTTTGTCTTGACAACTGGATTTGTCTTGTCACCCCTCAAGATTCTTAGATTGGAATGAGCTTTATTAATTGTAATGAAGAACATAAATTGTAATATGCTGAGCTCTCCAATACATCATGTCAACTGAAATAAAAATGATTTGACATGATTTTAATGGCATCCATTAAAAAAAAAAAAAAACAAAAACCACCAGAAATACTCCCCAACCAGAAGTTGTTTCCTGTTTTGTTTTTTTAAACACAGTTTTCAAAGAAGGAGGATCCTTTCAAATCCCTGGAAGTGTGCAGGAATATAAGTATCTGTCATGTCTTCAGATTTGTTTCAATGTCAGAAAGGTTATGTTGAGCCTTAATGGACATTCTGCATGTGTGTGTATATACACCTAAAGATGTTAGGGCAGATCAGGCCTTTGTTTTCTTTTTGTGGATATGTAGGTCAACAGATAGTAAATTGAAATTTGTCCACATTTTCCTTAGTTGCAAACATTCATGTTAACGTGATTTTATGTATGTTCTTTTCTGTTTAGCACAGATTCTGAGATTAAAATTAAGCTAATGGATGAATAGTCTGTTTCAAAATACTACTTCCCTTAGTGTTTTATGCATGCAGCTATATGGAGAGAAGGAAAACAAAGTGTGCTGCTGAAGAGCAGGGGGGAAAAATGAAAGAGGAAAAAATGAGTAGATGAACGCTAACTGGGAGCAGAGGGACTGTACTTTCAGGTGACCGGCAAAGGTCTTTTTATAACAGGATACACACTGTCTAATGCTGATATGCAAAAAGAAAAGTTTCTTCAGAGCAAACTGTAATAAAGGTTTGTTTGCTTTACCAGAACCTCCAGAGCTGGGTTTCTGCTTGTAGTCTGCATGCTGGGTACCAGACAAGTTACTTTCCAGTTGAGAGAAAGATAGGAAAAAATCTAAGATGAAAAGCAGGAAACAGGGCAGAATTAAATATATATGTGCCTGGCTTGTGCAGCATTCTTCTTAATGCTGTTAGCATTCAGATTCCCTATTAGTGAGAAGTGCTCAGGAGCTTTTGTGCTGTAAGCTAACTGACAAACCTGCTACTGAGCAAGAGGAATTCTGTTTTGTTAGCTACAGGATGGAACTAGTACCCTACTTAGAGCAAAAATTCTGTGCAGAGAAGCTGACCACCATACCCTTCCAAGAGGTAGAATTGGACTACTTTACCTTGTCTATCCCAAGAAGATCTTCAGGCACTGGAGACGAGGGGACAGAAAGAGGAACATACTTGCAGATTTTATTGAAAAGGAAAAAAAAAGGATTGAATTCAGAAGACAGGATGATTTTATTTTTGTTAAAAGAAGCAAAGTCATTCCTTCCTGGAATGATATTGCATTTAATTTTCTGATTAAACGTTTTTGAGAGTAATGTTTCAAGAGAGATACTCATAGGAAAATTAAGACACTCGATTGCCACAGCCTTTATTATTATGAATGATCACAATAAACTAACTGGGAATATCTTATTAAAATTTTCTGACATTTATTGTGCCAGTCACAATTACTACTCATCTGGTTGTAAACAGTGCCAGTAGTTGTTGTTTCTGTTCTGGTACTATGCTATAGAGCATTAGTGGGTATGGATATTGCCCCAGTATTAGAGAGAAAGGAAGAGGAATGGGGTACTGTTGCTGAATTCCTTCACCCAAAATTGAAATCACGTTACAGGGAAGGTGACTTAAGGAAATAGAAGGAAAGCTGAGTTAACTACAGAATGTAATCTCTGTACCTTATTAAGGAAACTTCCCTGTCCAATCATCCAGGAGCCACTCTGGCAGTCACACTTGCACCACCTGAACTGGAACTGAAGTCCCTTCACAGCAGGCAGCTCCAGTGAGCCAGTGGGTGCCCCTCTTGACTCCCTTCACACACCATGCTCCCACAGTCAGACAAGGCTTCTTTACCGGCTCAACCCTGGGATTCCTACCGCAGACTCTCAGACATCTGGATCCTTAAAACAATTAACTCATGGTGCAACAACAGAGTCACAGCTCAAGCTGTGAACTGCAACAATATATGCCATCCCTACTGCACACAGTCATGGTGGAGCTTCAGTGATGCTCTGGTTGTGGAATCCTTAGAAAATACAGACAAAATCTAGTAATAAATAATTGACCTCATCCAGATGCTTGTGTTCCTCCCTGTTGGCTATTATTTTCATGTTTGCCCAGAAACTTCCCTCACACCTGTGCTAGGATGAGTCAGTTTTCAGTCAACAGTTTTCCCCTACTTCTGCTATTTTTCAGTTGAACATTAGCAGTAGAGATCCACTATGTCTGTACTCATCTGTGTACAGGCACATCACATTCTTCCAAAAAGAAACACTATCAATGAAATTGCAAAATCCAAGCTTTGCCAGGTAAAAAGGGAAGTAATATCCAATGCTTCTTGAAATCTCAGAGCTAATCCTATTCATCTTTTCACCTGAGTATTGAAATCCTTTTTTTAATCAAATAATAACCTGAAGATAATTTTACATTATAGTAGTTTGCAGCATCTTTTATTCCTGTGGCAACTTTTGTGTTTTTTAAGTATTTGTTTAATATTTTCTTCCATCCTTCCTACCTTCCTTCCTTCCTTCCTTTCCTTCCTTTCTAGGACATGAATTTTTCCTGAAAGAAGAGATATTCTAAAGTTTAAGGGCAGGGGAGAGGAAACTGAAGGGGGGAGGGTGGTGATTTTTAGCAACAGAATCTTCCTGGGGAGAAGATATGCTCTCTCTCATTTCAGTGGTCACAGAATCTGTGGTCACAGAATCTGCAAAGGGGACTTATTCCCCTTTGCCTCAACATCTTGTTATGGAAAAGAAATGTCAATTATTTTGTCCTATTCAGCATCTTGTCATTTTAGATTAGGAATTATCAGTCAGGATTGTGTTGCATTATGCATTTGTAGTGCTTTCAGTTTGTGATTTTGTTTCAGTTTTCTAGCTATTACAGTAGCACAAACAACTAATAATAAATTAGATATTGTTTTGCAAAATGAAAGAACCAAGAAGAAAAAAATCATTAAAATGTTTTCAGCTGTATATGTTGAGTCTTTGAAAAAGCTGGCTTATACACTGTTTAAAATTAATAAATGCAACTAAATCCAAAAACCACCCAACCACAGTCTCAAGGCATTCCAAAAATTTCAGTGCCTCCCTTTTCAGAACCTGGACACTCCATGTTAATAAGGAAACTTATTTACAGCTGAGTATCATAATTTTTTTCCCCTCTATTCTGTTTTCTTTTGGACAGGATCTATATCATCAGTCATATGACTGCGTCTGTGTCATGTTTGCCTCTGTTCCGGATTTCAAGGAATTTTACACAGAATCTGATGTAAATAAGGAAGGCTTGGAGTGTCTCAGGCTTCTGAATGAGATCATTGCTGACTTTGATGATGTATGTACTTCTAACAGTCGACTTATGATTTCAATCTTAATAACTCAGGGTATGCAACAGTAAGCAAATACACTTGAAGGGGAGAGTGGAAGGCCTGTCAGAAAAGAAATTTTGTGTGCCTGGTCACATGGTAAATACTTACAGGGAGTATTAAAGGAGGAAGATATTTATGTGGCATAAATCAGATAGTGGTCTGACATCACACTCAATTGCTTTTGATTTGCTGTAATAAGTCCCCTATGTGTATATCTGATAGAAAAATTTTACCCTTTATGTGCAGCTCATGAAGCACGTTACGTGCCATGTATTAACTACAAGTTCTAAATACTAATTTCTAAAGTCAAATACAACTTTGTGTTATACCTGATCTGTGTTGGTCTCACACAGATCATTGATCACTTGATACATAAGCAAATCAAAGGATTGTGTAGGTTTTAATGTTCCATTCCTTGAAGTTAGAAGCAAGTAAAGAGTATGACTACAGATGGATTGTGAAAAGGCAGCTGGACAGAATGTGAAAAGGCCTCACTGAGAACGGTATTTATCTTTAAGAAAGTTATTAGTAATGAAGATACTAGTAAAAGGTATGAAGATTGTGTCATGACTCAGACAGAACAGAGTCTGGATTTGCAGATCTGCAGCTATAAAGGGCATTTTAACAGCACACCCGTTTGAAGAACTGCGTCCAAAGTCCAAACCAACCTAGGATACGAACTAAAATCCTTGGATTTTAGTCCCATTGACATGGAGCATGCCATTGACACGGAAGAGATGCTTACTTTCAGAAAGCTGCTTAAAGCTGAGTTGTTGGCTCTCATGGTGACTCAGTTCTAATGTCGCATGAGTGCAAAGTATGCTGACTTCTAAGAGGTGTATGTACAATAAGGTGGAATTTATTCTCATTCCTATAAATTTAGTGCCTTTATAATAAAAACATATTTCAGACAACAGAAATTCTCTTTCGTTGAAGGCTGTAACCATTGTTTTATCCATCTTTAAGTCCTTCATCCTGTATATATTTGTGAAGCCATTTGAGGTCTAGATTGAAACTGTTCTAAGAATTGATGCTCTGAGTGGTGTTAGAGTAACAAGGCTGCTGATCTGAATTATGAATAACCATCCTTGTTTTACAGTTATTGTCAAAGCCAAAGTTCAGTGGAGTTGAAAAGATAAAGACCATTGGAAGTACTTACATGGCAGCAACAGGACTGAGTGCTACACCCAACCAAGAACAGTGTCAGGTACAGGAAAATGTTCTTGCTTAATAAACAACATGTTCAAATGAAGGCTAAAGTTCTGTTATTTAAAATCCATGTTATGTATAATACTGTGGCCTAGTTTTTTTCGTATTAACATAGATTATATTGGACAAGTGTATACTTCAGTAGTCTCTGTGAATTGTTCTTCACATTGCAGTTTGAAAATGCCACCTCCGTATTTGCTAAAACAGGCCTTCTAGTCTAAATACAATACAGGATTTAATTCCCCCATGCTGCATCAGAACTGGATTTATAGAATGTACAAAAACTGCAAGAATTAACGTTTTCCATTGTAAGTGGGAGGGCTGAGTAGCTTCACTAACCATACGCTTACAGAGCCCTCAGATTCAGCATTGAGAATGTGTTCCTTTGTTTCTAGTTTACTTATTATGATAGGATTAGGAACTGCAGTCAGTAGAAATTAAGTTCAGAGAAGCAATTCATAACTTTTAAGCAAAAACCTTGCATTTGCCATGATCTTTAGAGTACTACAGGTTAGCAACAGAGAGACAGCAATTACGAATCAACACAATCTGTGCTAAGGATTAATGTGCTCTTGCCAAACTAATGTTCCTTCTAGACAGAAGCAATTACCACATGAACTACAGACCCTAAGGATTCTGAGGATAAAAAAAAAAAGAGAATTATTTTAAATTAGTTCTGACATTTAATATAGGGAGGTGAAGGAATGAAGAAAATGCAGAACTGGAGACTGGAGATGAGAAGACAGAGAGCTCTCAGTCATTACTGAAACTAGTGTATGCAGAGGAAGAAATTTATCATTTGAGTTATTTCCACAAACTATTAGTCAAGAGATCAACGTTTCAGCATTCCTTTGATGATTTAGTTGACATTTTCTAAAGAATTCCACAAGAACTCAGCAGCCTTCAGTCCAGATTCCCAAAGATACACAGATGCTGCAATACCTAGTGTAGTGACTGACTGGTAGACATACTGCTGGGAACCACCCCCATCTTAAAGCAAGCATCCAAGGAAGATTAAGTGCCTGAGGAGGGGGTCTGAATATGTCAACTGAACAGGAAACCATCTGTCTTAGTTAGGAGTAAACTCCAAAGGAAACAGGCTTCATTCATCTAAACAGCTGCTCCAGCAAGCACCACTACTGTCCCATCCTAGACTAATGCATCCACTCTATGAACCATCTCCGAAGTTGTCATTCGTCCGTCTCTTCTGTCACTTTATCTGAAGAAATGAGGAAGATTTGGTAATTTCTCAGAGAGATCAGTGGGTCTATCTCTTATGAAATCATTTGCTAGTGAGGGTCCTTCCCTGGGCTGTAGGAGACCAAAAATCAGTTTTCTCCTCGATCTGAAGGGACTCAAAACAGTACTTAGAAATCAGGTTACTTTGTTGATGTATGAGGACAAATTAAGTCTACAGCCTTTATAAGTGGTAAAAAGCTCTGAGCTAGTCAGTTAGGGGACAGAGTGGGGTTACCCTCTTCCTGTCTTCCTCTTGTATTTTATTCATTTTCATATCTGTTAGATGTTCTCAGAGATGCTTGCTTAGCTGCCGGATGAGATCAGTTGAAGAACTCTTAAAATTGTGAATTTCACCAGATCATAAGCATTTAATAAGGGTGCTCAGCTGTGCAACAGTGAGATGGAGGAGTCTCTGTGGGGCTGTCCATAAACATTATTTATTATGAAAGGGCATAAATAGAAGTGGACACCTAGAGAAAATGAATTAACAAATCCTAGGCACACATAAACACTGACTGCCCGTGGGATTAGATAGCAGCTAATCAGTTATTTGACAATTGAAACATTAATTTAGGCATGGTTTGGATCTATCATCTCTGGACTGCCTGGTTGTATAAGTAAAATGCATCCTAGTCTCTTGGCCATTGTTTGATCTAACTGATGCTGGGCAGGGTACCACTTTTGACATTACTTTCCTGCATATTCCTGCTGGCAGTAGGCACCCCTAAAGGTTTAAGTGCTTTCAAGTGTTCAGCATATTTTTGTTGTATTCTCATAGCAACTAAGGCTCAGGAAAATGATTTTACTCTATTTGTTTGTCTTTTAAATTCAGGAACCTGAACGACAGTATATGCACATAGGAACCATGGTGGAGTTCGCATTTGCCTTGGTGGCAAAACTGGATGTCATAAACAAACATTCTTTCAATGACTTCAAGTTACGAGTAGGTAAGTATCACAGGATTTTTATGAGAATATATTATAGTTTAAGTTAAATAAGAAAGATCATTTGCTGAAGTTTTCATACCATCACATAGTTCAAAGTGTAGGGGACCCCCTGCCTCCCTGCCAGGGCTGCACCGGGAGGTGGGGGGTGTCCCTGAAGTGAAACACCATGAGAATTCACAGGGGAGAGGATAAACCCCCCCTGTACTTCAGAAACTGTTCTCTAGTTCCTGTGTGTGGGTACTGAGGGAGGACACCCACTGCTTTTTGCCATGGCTTCCTGATGGGTGCTTTGAGGAATTCTTGCCACTGCTGCTTTTTGCTGTGGCCCCCACGTGACATCCATGGCTTTTGCCACGGCAGCCGCCATCAGCTCCCTGAGGGGTGCAAGCACCATCGCCAGCAGCTGCCAGGGCCGCGTTGAAAAAACCTGGGAGCTTCCTTTGGTGAGCTGCACGTGGCTCATGATCACCCAGTCCTGGTGCTGCTCCAGCTCCATCACTGTCACATCACGTGGTCTCCGTTGGGATCCGCGCTGCTATCTTGGTGGCGTTAGGACTTCTCTTCTTCAAACGAAATACTCTTCCAGGTTTTTCTCATTTTAACCAAAGGGGAGGGGGATGGCTAGGTGACATTTTTTCTACTGTTGTTCGGTTTTCTTTTCCTCTGTTTGTTCTCCTTTTTTTTTAGTAAAATTGTTGTCTTTTCCCTCCTTCATTCAGACTCCTCCTAACTTCAAAAAACTTGACAATATTTCGGTGGAGGGAAATAAACAAAGAGAAGGAGGGTTTTACCTCATCAGAGGTCCCACCTCCTGAACATATTGTCATTAAACTAAGACAGAATATCATGGATGAGGGGGACAATTCAGTGTGAAGTACCAGCTTATTAAAGTATTAGTAGAACTGACCAAAAGGGCCATGATAGTAAACAGCACTGTCCTGTTTAAAAGCAGCCTATGTGGTATTGCCCATCAGCTTTAGCTGCTGTTGTCACAGGGAGTGTTTCAAGGCAGGACTCAAGGCAATACTCCTAAGTAAAGAATGGTTGAAAAAATGTGTTTGTGTGGCTCTGAATGGTTTTATGATAACTCTGTAAAAATTATTGTAGAGGTTGCTGGCTACATACATTTTTTAAGTTTACCAATACCAAAAGACACAAGAAAACTCTAGTCTGGGCTTTGCAAAACTGTATAAAGGGTTTCAGAGGACAAGAGCTATAATGGGAGAATGAGGCTGAAGTCTGAAATATTTTACATGTACTAAACTCAAACAAGCATACAAAAATGTACCCGTTCCTTTGCAATGTTAGACAAGGGAGAGTATTTATTTGCTTCGTTATTCAGATAAGAGCAAAGATGACTGGTTATTTACCGTTGTAAGGGATATCCCTTATGTTTTAGTTTCTAATTGTTTCTACTTGTGCCTCATGGTATTTTTAAAAAGAAATAGACAGCTGCGGTAAGCGATGAAAAGAATGATGAAATAAATGAATTCAGAGCTGATCAAGAACCATATGTTCCAAAATGTTTATTTCCTGATAGCAGTACACAGCAGTTTCATAATGCAATATGTAACATGGAAAGTGTGAAATGAAAACGGTAAACAAATATTGGAAACCCATAAATCCTGTAAACATGTCAAAAATATTTGATTTCCAACGGTTATTCTCCTGTCTTGTATTTTTCTCTCTATGCCACTTGCTTTTTCTTTTAGCTGCTCCTCTCATGTTTATTTCACAGTGCCACCCACTGGCAAAACTTGCTGTCTTCTCCCTTGAAATAGGTGCTCCTTAGGGCATTCCTTTACCAGGAGTTTGGTATTCCTTGCTAGAGCAAAAAAATGGCAAAGCAAATCTGAAGTATGCTTTCTTCTCAGAGTGTTACAGAATTTGATGGGTTTAAAAGAAATGTGTAGAGATACCATATTTCTGTACAGAATAAAAGATGACATAACACTTGCAAACATACTTATATCAGCAGTGTCAGTACAAATAAAGAGCTGCTGTTTGTCAGTGCTACATCTGCAAACTGGTTAAAGCAATACTGACTTCTTTAAACTGGGGAGCATGAAGAGAACTGTTTAAGGAAAAAAAAAAGATACTTTCTTGATAAAGTGCTTGCTAAAGGTTCCAGAGAACTCAGACTCCTTTGCTTCATGAAATGAAGAACGTTTAACTCTGCAAAAGGAACACAGGCCCCAAACTGGTATTTTTGCCATCTTAATCCAACATAAGCACCACTTCACTTCCCATTTTCACTTCAATTCTTCTCCACTTCTCATCACAACCTGATGATGAAAGCATCTGATATCCATACCAATTATAGCCACAGAAACATTTGAACATCTACCTCCAACATAATCGACTTATATTCCAAGTGCCATTTTTAAAAGCCTCTCAGCCAGCATCTGACACCATAATTGTTGCAACTCACTAGAGGTTTCAGCTTTCATAATTTTCTGTGAGTGCCTGAAATGCTAGTGTGCCTTAAGAGGTACACAGCCCACTCTGACCTTGTCAGACAATATTGTCACCTAGATGATATTTCAGTCATTCCTCCCCTTCTGTTAGCTGAGGCACTCGATTTTTTAGACAAGCTTAGATATGCTTTTGCAGCAAGTTTTGCACAGGTACTGCTTTTCTCAGAAGAGAGGATGATATGTTGTTTTCCATATACTTCATAGTTAGAACAGTCATGTTGTAAGTGACTTAATTTGGTTCCTGATTTTGGCTGAGGCCAGGCTATAGGATACACAGATAGTTTCTGTCATTTCTGTGGAACAGTATTTGCTATTTCATTAAATGATTAAATATCGCTATGGATATGAGAAGTCTGCTCTCTTATATGGTTCCGAATCATGGGTCGTCTGCTGCCACTACCTGCATCTCCTAGAATGCTTCCATCAACACTGCCTCTGTACAATCCTAAACATCCACTGGTCAGATTATGTGACCAACACATCTGTTCTAGAACAAGCAGCTGTCACAAGTATCGAGGCCATGTTGCTGAGAACGCAGCTGTGCTGGGCAGGGCACGTCTCAAGGATGAAGGACCACCGCCTCCCTAAGATCTTGCTTTATGGTGAACTTGCCACTGGCTGCTGCGTGAGAGGAGCCCTGAAGAAAAGATACAAGGACTCCCTGAAACAACATCTCAGCCTTGGCCGTATTGATCACCATAACTGGTCTACTCTGGCCTCAAATCGGGAGGCCTGGAGACACACCATCTATAACGCTGCCATTTCCTCTGAGAACACACGCAGGATCACTCTCGAGGAGAAAAGACAACGCAGAAAGAACCGTGTCTTGCAGAATATTCCACCTAAGGAGTCTTTCTGCTGTGCCTTTTGCAATCGGACATGTCTATCTCGTATTGGCCTTTTTAGCTACCAGCGTACTTGTAACAAATGTGGATAGAGCCTTCCTAAATCTTCATTTGTGAAGCCTAGCCATGGATATGAGAGAAAGACACAGTTGGTGTCGCCCTCTGTTAGAGGATTCACCTGTAGTGAGAGTACTACTCTTCCAGCCTTGCCCCAACAAACATTCATGTCTGTCATGCGAGGAATGACATAGAGTAGGACATCCCAGAATGCCTGAGTGGCCAGAACACATTCCTGAGAGATACAGGTAGAAGTCTACTCAAAGTAGGAGGAATCCGAATCTGACTCCTCAACCCCTGAAATATTAATCTGCATATTGGATGCCATGAATTAGAAAGACCCATCTGTGGTTTGGTTGTTAATGCAGAGTGTTGGCAAGGCCCAAGTGCCTTTGTGCATTTACTCCCAAGGATTTGTTCTATTTGGTATCCTTTAGGGTTTGCATGTTTTCCCAATTTTCTAGATTTTACTTGTACAGTCACTTTTTCCAGGGTTTCCAAGTGGGCTAATAGTGTCGTTGCTAGCCCTTGCTGCCATGTTACATACTGGATGAGTCAGTGCTGAGATCCCTTTCCGTCCTACAATCACACTTTCAATTTTGCTGCGTAGCTATATCCCTAGTGATGGTTTCAGTTAAGGAATTAATAGAAGTCAGTTACGAGGTAATTTTAGAAATCCAAACTACTCTCTTGTTCAGGGTTTATTTCTCACTAGGTCTAACTTGACTTTCCTGCTCATCGGTAGGTACATTTGATGCTGGTTAACAATATTAGTTTTGATTTTGCCTCTCGGTTTCTTTCCCTGCTAGCAGAGTTACTCCCTTTACAGATGTAACATAGGCTAACAGACTGACTGCAAGATAAAAAAATACCCAGAGTCTAATGAGGTACTATACTATATTGTTCTATGCTATGCTTAATCAAATTATTTCAATACATATTTTTATATTGCAGTTATTTAGGACCATTCTATGGTCAATCCAGCCTTCAGAACAAGGCTTCAAATCCTTTCAGCTCATGTGTATTAGTTTATTCTACATTTAAGAAGCAAAGATAACTACAAAAGTAATTTGATTCAGCCATCAACTGTTGAGAGGAGAGGCCCTTTTCACTACAAGCAGAAATGAAAAGAAATTCCTATATGTCTGTTTTCTAACTAAAACTAAAATTAGATGAGCTGACTTTTGGCATTTCTATAACTAACATTCTCCTGCTGTAAATGGTGGATAAAACCACAATGAACAGACTATTCACTGCTGTACTCACTGTTGAGGCAGATGTTATGTTGATTGACTTGCTATGTTGGCAGATGCACTGTGTGTCCTTGTTTGGTGGATCTTCACAGAAGCACAGAATTAAGTTGGGAAAAGACCTCTGTAGAAAGTGTTAAAGTCTTCCCTGAGCCTTCTCTTCTCCAGGCTAAACAAATTCAGCTCCCTCAGCTGCACTTCATAGGACTTGTGCTGCAGACCCTTCACCAGCTTTGTTGCCTTTCTCTTCATTCCTAATGTAAAGTTCTGATATTTTCCAGGTATAAACCATGGACCTGTAATAGCTGGAGTAATTGGAGCTCAAAAACCACAATATGATATATGGGGCAATACAGTAAATGTGGCCAGCAGGATGGACAGCACTGGTGTCTTAGATAAAATACAGGTAAGCCTTGACTTTGTGCTAAAATTTATCTTATTCTTTTGAGTTTGGTTCTTAAAAAGCATCATATCGTTTGTACATTAAATAGATCTTTTTTTTGAAGCTAAGTAAAGAATTAAAAGAAAATTATAGGGAAAATGGGAGGAGAATCAAAACTTTGTCTTGACCATAAAGAGGCATGCAGTGGAGGAAGTCATGGGTTGCCTGGAAATGCATCCCTACATTAAGAGAGATTTTGTGAATTTCTAAACTCCTAGAATACTAACTACCTTATCTCTGAAGGACAATCCTGATGTTAGTAATCTCTAAGTAAAGGGAATTATCATAACTGTACATCAAGTTAAATCCATAAAGCAATCCTGAAACTTCCCTTGTAATGAACCATAATAATCTTTGTAGGTTATTATCTGTATCGATTATAGATAGGCCTGTATAGAAAAGAACTTCAATTTTCTAACTTTCTAGTGATTCCATAGCCAGAGATCACATTTTAAGTATATGCCTAGTATGCTGCCTAGCACTTTGGGATCTCAGCATGCAATTGAGAGCACTTCAAATCTATCACTGAGATTATTCAGAACTAAGTAATGGAAAAGTAACGTTACCAACTGTTAGTTAAAATTGAAAATGGAATGTTAAAGCAGTGATATCTACAAACAGTTGCTTCACAAAGAAACACAGATAGTCTGAAACAAATGATGCTGTTGAACTACCTCTGTCCTAGTGGGCTTCAACCTAAAATGGCAGAATGACCTAGAGTTGGGTTCACTGACAGTTCTGTGAGAAACTGGCAACAACAGCTCTGACAGGTGATGCTAACATCTTACTATCGCTTCATTTACACAGCCTTAGTATTTGTAAAAAGATAAGGAAGTTTAAGTCTGCGGAAGTGAAAATAAGCACCTGAAGTTGAGAAAAGTGCACTATGAGGAAGGGTGTTGTCCCTAGTGCCATTTGAGTATCTACAAGCTCTGTGTTTACAGCCTTAGGTACAGAAGTGGTTACATCACATTTGATACTTGATGTAAGTGATTAGAATGGGCATCCAGCAACAGACTATTTGAAACCTCAGGAGCTCAAACCTCACCTCAGACCATTAAAGGCCTTACAAGCATTATAGAAAAACCTTTATAATTGTACAGAACATATGTTCTCTTCACACTCTGGAAGAAGATTTTGCTTTGCTTTGTTATAAACACTGGTTGTATTAATGTATTGTTGCAGGTTACAGAGGAGACGAACAATGTCCTGCAAACATTGGGATACATGAGCACTTGCAGAGGAATAATAAATGTAAAAGGAAAAGGAGAATTGAAGACATACTTTGTACATACTGAAATGACAAGATCCCTTTCACAAGGGAACGTGGCATCTTGAAGATGCTTGTACGTGTCATCAATACCATATTTTCAGGAAAGTATCACGCACGTTTTAACTACATTTTGGCCCTTAACATGCGTGCTATTTTCTGGTATGTGGCACTTATTTTAATATGGCTGCAGAATAGTCCCATGAGCCATCATTTTGCACCTTGATATTCCTATGTTCAAGGACAGTTGCGGTGTACGCTATAGGACTGGAAGATTGTACTGCTACTTGCACTGTTATTCAAGACAAGAAAAGAAGGAATAGGAGTCAAAAGGAGGTAATGCATCCTGAAAGGACTGAGAGAGATGTTAGTGACAAATGCGGGGAAAAAAGGCAATAAAGCTAGGGGTGCATACTATTTTCTGATGCATGGTGTTTTCTGGAAAATACAGTCGCTCCCCAATAGCATCCACTAATCTGGTATTAAAGTATACAGTATTTGTAAATAAGTTTACTCTGTCCATGATTTGGATGTGATCAGTTGCATCTCATAGCCAGGGACACGTTGGGTGGCTTGCTGGCATTCTTTCTGAAGAGAGAACTAACAATGCTGGAATAGTTTTGTACAAACGTGTCAAATGTTTTGAAGCTATTGTCTTTTGTAAGGTTAATTCATTAAAAGTTTATATGTAATTTGTCTTACTGTTGCTGTCTCTTAGTTATGCTTCCTTCCGTGGCTTCTGTCGCTCTAAACCTGCGTGTCTTTTGCTGCTGCTGCTGCTTTTTATTCAGCAGTTAGATGTTGAGGCAGGGTATGGCCAGCTGTCTCAATAGCCTTGGTCAATAATATCTGCTAGACTTGTTATTGCCTTTCAGAAACTAAATCATCTCTACTGTTCTCAGTCATGGGTGGCATCCTAGACACTTTGCAGGCATGATACAGAAGACTTAACCTCAAATCCATAAACACAAGCAAAGTGGGAGATACTGAAAACGGTAGCAGAGTTCCTACTTCACAGCTGGCCTGCAGTGCTTAAACAATAACTAGGAGAAGGGAAGAAAAGTTTTGATTGTTTTGCACTTTGACAACCTCTTTTGACCTTGCATGCCTTTCACTTAACCTTCGCAATGCTGGATTTCATGGGATATTTCAAGTAACAATCTTACTTTTCAGTATATGAGTATGAGCAAAAGAGGTAAAAAATGCTATTTTGTGGATATTTGAGATTAATTTAAATCCCACTGAAATAAAAAGTATAACTCTTGCAGAGTTTCATAGATGATCCAGGCGAAAGACAGAAAAAGCAGGTAATTGTACTATCTATGCTCTTTGAAGCATAGTAACAATTATTTTTTGCTTAGTTGTAACTAGTACTTGAAATTAACATAATTCTTATAGTCATAGCATCCTAACAAGACCAAAATTAATAAAATTGTCCTACTTACAAAATAGCGTATAATTACAAGATTTTTTTCTGACTGATACCATATGAATATGAAAGTCAACTTATGCACTATTAGTTCTGGCTTGTTGAAATGTAAAAAGTATTCAGATTTCTCATTCATGAAACATATATATGTATATATATATGTACACATTTGTATAGTATTGGTGTCCTTTCAGAAGAAGTTCTCAAAATTGTGGGTCACAGGTACATGGCATCAGGCCACAGTCTTACTGAGCAAGGCACAGTTTATTCACAGCAGCCATCTGCCCACTGGCAAATTGCAATGACAATAGGCTTCTAAGTTCCTACATTTGCTGTAAAACAGAAAATCTGAATTTTGGTCCCCTTAAATTAGTCTAAAATCAAAATATAAGTTATTTCAGTTATGTTCACATTTTTCTCCCAGAGTTGGAGACTTTTAATCATAAATTCTCAAGATAGGTGCTCAGTCTAATAAAATCTCATGAAAAATGTTTTTGTTGCCTTTATGATTTCTTCCTTTTAATTAACACATTAAGATAAATATTTTCCAGTGGAATTAAAGACTTTCCAAATAACTCACATGGCAGCAAAACCAGCGTCCCAGTTACTGCCTAAAGCGAGCTGTCACTTAGCTATGCTTAAGACTTCTGCTAAATCCCTCCTTGCCACTTACTATAAATTTGTCTTAGGAACACTTAAAAAAGTTATTGATCTCCTTCTTAGACTTTGAATGTACTCCAGGCCTTTAAAATCATTGTGGCATTACCACAGGTCAACACAATCACTTCTTACTGTGGATGAAAACCCTTTATGTAAAGTTGATTCTATTTATACTGTCATATATATGTGCAGCTTTTAGGTATAACCTGTACATTCAGGATTTTGCTTTCATTTGTATTCTTGCACATCATTAACAAACCTTGTACCTAGCTCAATGGACTTTTTTCTTTGATTTTTATGAAAGTTAAACAATATTTTTTTCTGTAAGCTATGAAATGCTAAAACATCTGAATGGTGGGGAGCTGACTAGTCCAATGAAATATAAAGAAAGAGATATATGTGCTCTCCAAGAGCATGTTGAAAATGCTCATGGTTCAGAGCACTCATATTTCACTGGTGCTCTTCTCTCATTTTGTAATTGCATTTCGATTCTTGCAGCCAAATCCTGCTAAAGAACAAGAAAGTGGGCAACACACACACATCATACATGCAGTATGACGCCCAAAGAAAGGTGCATACCATCCTCCCTCTAGCCTTCAGTTACTGAGCATCATTATTATCTTTCTAGTGCGAAGAAGCTATTTGTATTTAATACATACCTCTTGTCTTCCAATGCATTTTACATCTACTGTTTATAATGTTTTATTTTTCCGCTCTGGATTCACCCACAATTCTTGTATCCTCTTTCTTCCTCCTCCTGCAGCAATTTCAGCCTCAGTAACTGGATATAATGCTACTCATGTATCAGTGTGTAACTGGAAAAACTTTATGATAATCATACAAATAGTATTTAACATTCCATGTATTCCACATTACAGTAAGGTTCATCAAGTTCTACAACTTCCATGTTGGTGACGTAGGTTGCTAGCGAACCACAGAGTGTGAGTTCCAAAAGTACAATGCAAATGCATTTCACACTGTGAAGCAGCAGCCAAAAGATCAATGTAAGAGTGATTCACTGTGGTCTGGAAAAAAGAAATTCAGATGGGAACACCTGGGAAGCTTGCTGAAATTCTTTTTTGATGTCAGTGCTTTGCTCCAGTTTATGGAGGACTACCAAAGGACAAGAAAAAAGACTAGACTTGCAGGTATTTTTATTAACTATGAAAGTATTTGGGATTACCTGAAAATAATGCTATTTAGCTGCTGTTTCTAAAGACAGACAGTAGTATCTTACTTAAGTTATGTGAAAAGCATTTTTCATTCTTTTAAATTACTTTATATTTTCTCCATTTTGTGAAATATCTACAGACCTTCCCTTTTTCTGGTGAGACACAGGTAGTTCAATCTGTTTCTAAAGCTACAGCTGTGCATATGTGAAGGTAGAGCTGTTTCAAGTCTGTCCTGTTTTGTTTTCAGAACTTCATATCAGGACAAATAATAAGCTATGTTGTCAAGATGCTTTAAATAGCAGAAGATTTACTGTTAAAAGATATGATTATCTTGTACTTTGATATGTAGTTTTCCTTTTGGTTTTGGTTAGGTATGAACATACTTTAATTTTTCATTTTCAGATAGCAGATTCTCCTTCATCTAATATAGATACTACCCTACCCTTCAACACTTTTTACAGGTGGGCCCCAAACAGTTTTAAGCCTAGGGCTTTTTAATTTTATTCTTCATTTCTTGTCTAAAACAGTGAAGTGACTCTGAGAAGGAAACAAATGTCACATATATGTGCCTTAAATAAAACATGTAATTAAAAGAGTATTTTTTGTTCTTTGAAGTAATTCAGGTTTGGATGGATTTGTCAAAAGTGGTATATAAATCGTCTGTAACTGGTTCACCCTAAAGTTTGCTACATATTAATTTAAAGCATTTTCAAATTTAGGGGCAGGAATTTTTAAGGTCAGTGTAGCTTTTGATATGTCAAAATGCAACATAAGGGCATTTTATTCATGTTTGTAATTGTGACGATATGAACTCCTTTATGTTGTAGGATGCCCTGTTTAAAACAAAGATTCTACCAAGAGTTGTTTGAAAATTTTTTTGTGCAGCATTTTTCAAATCTGTTTGTAGACACTGAGATGCTCTTCATGAAAATCTCAGTTTTGACAAGAAAAAGTGCAAGTGGAGTATTTTGAAAGGTTGACATTCCTGGACTAGAATTTTTCATGTTTGCATTCCAAAACAGTGTTACAAATAGAAATTGTTATGAAAGTAATGTCACCTCATGTATAAAACTGTGTATTACTCTTCTTACCAAGAGGGTTATTGAACAGAATATTCATCTGAATTGGAGCAGATATCAGTCAGCTATATTGAGTTGTGCAGCTATGCTGGGTTGTGTGGCAAGGTTTTGGTAGCAAGGAGGGGGGACAGGGCTACAGAGGTGGCCTCTGTAAGAAGCTGCCAGAAGCTTCCCTCATGTCTGACAATGAGCCAATGCCAGCTGGCTGGCCAAAGCCAAGCCCATCAGCAATGGTGGAAGCACCTCTGGGCTAAAGTATTTAGGAAGAGGAAAAAAACACTTCAACAGTAGTCATAGAGAGGAAACAACTCCAGGGACAGGCACTGGAGCAGAGATTCCCCTGCAACCCATGGTGCAGACCATGGTAAGGCAGGTTGTAACCCTGCAGACCATGGAAGTCCATGGTGGAGCAGAGATACACCTGCAGCCCATGGACAACCTCATGCTGAAGCACGTGAATGCCCGAAGGAGGCTGTGACTCTGTGGGAAGCCTGCGCTAGAGCAGGCTCCTGACAGAAACAGTGAGCCCGAGGAGAGAGAAGCCCATGTTGGAGCAGGTTTGCTGACAGGACTTGTGACCCTGCAGGTGACCTGTGGTAGAGCAGCTTGTTTCTGATGGACTGCACTCCGTGGAAGGGACCCATGCTGGAGCAGTTCATGAAGAACTGCAGACCGAGGGAAGAATCCATATTGGAGAAGTTCATGGAGGACTGTCTCCTCTGGGAGGGACCCCACGTTTAAGAGCCTTCCTGTTTGAGATGAACAGTCAGTCAATAATTAGAATCTAGAAAAAATAAGCACTTCTGTGAAACAACTGGCTTGGCCCAAAGCTATGGGAATGGAAATGGGAGAGTTTTTGAGCTGTTTTTGTTTCAGCCTTTTTCAAGGGCCATCAAATGGAACATTTTTTGCAAAGACTGTCTCTCCTTTGTGGCTCAGCTGGAGGTCAGGACCACATGGCAATCTGATACATGTTGAGGTCAAACAGCTAGGACAGGAGATGGAAAGCTAAACCTTAATTTGACAGCAGGCTCTCAGCTCTAAGTGACATAAGCTTGAAACAGGTACCTCAGATTGTAGTAAGAAAACAGCTACTTGTGTTTTTTCTGTGTATCAATGACCTGTCCACTTATATGTCATCTGTCCTCTTGTGTCAATCCTGTCTCCCTTCACCTGTTGTCATTGTCTCTGTTGTGTCCCCTCTACCTGCCTCCATTACTATTTTCTTCACCTATTCATTTTAAGAATTCTTTTTTCAAAGTTATTCCATAAGCCAGTCTGACATTTTAGAACAGTGACCCTGCTTTTGACACACTTAGGTGTGAAAAATTGCTATAAAAATACATACCAACATGTTCGGAA